ACCACCACCAACATTAACAGCGAAGCACCAACCACCACTCCATCTCCTCTAACCGACCCACCGATCAGCAAGATCGCTCCCACTATGCAGATGAAGACTAATGTTGACAGCAGTGTCAGTCCTGTGTGGATGCGCACTGCAGCACCGCTACTGATTGTAGTGGTTGTGTTGTTCTCCGCTACCCTGTACTGAACAGTGGGACTCATCTGAGGTCAAATAATAAAAATAATGGTTAAAATAATATAATAATAATAGCGTACATCCCCCATGGGTGAATAAATTAATAATGTGTTTACTAGCTTTCTCTTTTAATTCGAATATCTTTTTTTTTCTTTTACATTTATGTGTGTGTGATCTTTTTCTAATAATTCCATTACTTGCTTTTCCCGTTGTGTGTGCAGAAAACTGGGCTGTTCTACTCACTGACGGTATACATCTCTTGCTAGTACACACAGATGTGTGTGTGCAGTTATTTAATGCATAAACTAGAGCCATGGAGTATTGTGTGTGTGTGTGCATGGTCTTGCACTGTAATAATGATGATGAACTGCTTTTTTGCAGTGGGGGAAAACAGGAAATAACAATAATAACAGATGAGTTTATATTAATAATTGCGTATATACACACATATAGAGTTACACCCATAGTTGGTGTATTTCTATGTTTACTTGGTAAATTGGGCTAATGGTTAATATTTCTTTGTTTGCTTGTGATTTGCTTGGGTCATTGTGTGCTTTCCCCTTCACGGTTTTTGGTAATCTGTTTTATAAGAGCAAAGAAAATAATAGTAGTTAATAAAATTTGTATTCTTATGTACTTGAACACACCAACATACCCAGTGGTCTGTGAGTTATTTTTGTGCGGTTGGTCCTCTTCTTAATTTGTTGTTTTTGTTCACGTTTTCTTTGCTTGTTCACTGTGTGCTTTCTCCTGCATTGTTGTGTGTTGGAGTGTTTTGTGCGGTGAGAAAAAATGATAAAGAATACATAAGTATATTTGTAATTGTGCTTGTTCCTACAGAAGAAACACTGTTATGTATTTCTGTGCTGTCTACTTTTAATGGTTGTACTCTTTAATTTCTTTTTTTCTTTTTGAGGGGTTAATTGGGATTATCTGTTTGTTATTGGGTATTGTGTGCGTTTTTATTTTAATTTGGGTATTATCTGAGTTATGGTTGCAGCTTTCTGCAATGTGTGTGTCTCTCTTCTGTAATTATTGAGTGATGTTTGTTTTGTTGTGTATTCTTATTTTCTTGTTTCCATTGATTCACTTTGTTTCTGTTTTCCTATCTGGCTTTTATTTTTCTTTAAGCGATTGAAGTAAGACTACTGCAAGAAGTATTGTAATGGTAATGATGCGCTACGTGCTGTGTATCCTCGCTCTCCTGCTCTCATGTGCGTGTGTGCACGTCCTCGCTGAAGAAGTGCCTGCCGCCGATCTTTCCGACCAAGTCCCTGATACGGAGAGTGAGACGAAGAATTGCACTAATGGTAGTGGTGTGGTGTGACTCAGGTCATCCTTTGTTTCCTTTTCTTTTTCTTTGCATACATCCACACTACAGTCTAACTAATCTTTTACCTGTTGAAATTCTCTTTTTTTTTGTTTTGTTTCTTAATGTTAATGTGTTTTGTATGTTTTTGCTCTCTGTGTTTTTATCCTATAATAATTATTATTGCTACTCCATTATGTGTGTGTGTGTTCTTGGAGACTCTCTCTGTGTGTGCACCTGGGCTTGCACTGTGATGGTAATGAACTGTTTTTTGCAGTGGAGGAAGAGAAAGGAAATAAAAATAATAACAGATGATTTATATTTATAATTGCTTGTATACACACATATATACTTACACCCATAGTTGGTGTATTTCTGCGTTTACTGGGTAAAGTGGGCTAATGGTTAATATGTTTTTGTTTTCTTGATGGTTTTGCTGGGTCTCTGAGCCTTTTTAAAGATATTTGTGAGTGTGGGCTTTTTTTTTGTTTTTACTCTTACTGAGGTTATTGCGCTGTATTGCTTTTTTTAACTGGTAGGTTTTTCTTTGACGATGTGAGTTTCCATAGTGGTAATCGATTTGCGTGTCCTAACATGTTTGATACTTCATTTATTTTCTTTACTTTTTGATTGTCTTTCTTTCTAGATCAGTGTTTTTACGTGAAACAAACCCCTTGTCTCTTTCTCATGATGATGATGCGCCGTGTGATGTGTGTGTTGGCCGTTGTGCTGTGCTGCCCCTGCGGGTATACCATGACGGCTGCTGCTGCTACTACTACCGCTGGACAACCGAAGGCGGTGATGGCCAACTCTGTTTATAGTATTAGTGATACGGCCCAGATTCTCTTTGTTAACTTCGACCATGATAAGGCTTCTTACCGCAAGGACTGTGCGAATAATTCTGCTGCCCTTATTAATGGAAAAAAGTGTTCGGAGGTGTTAAAATCTCTTGAAGCTAAACCTTCACCACCTCCAGGGAATAACGTTCAACCAGGCTCCCATAACAATCCAGGACAACAGACAAGGGAAGATGGAGGAGATACAACGATTGAAGGACAAGGGGACAGAAATTTAGGGACGCAAGAGGGTGCATCAAAAGATGCTAGCAGTCCCCCTGAGTCTGCAAGAAATAACCGAGAAACAGTTACTGATGCGACAACAGCACAAAGTCAAAATCAGGAGTCTAGTACAGCATCACAGGTTAATCAAGGAACACCGAGCAACACATCTGATAATAACACTACACCTGGCAACTCTAATTCTAACCAGCAACCATCTTCTGCAGGGGCAAGTGCGACTGCCGCATCAGAATCACAAGAAAACAATTCCACTACTCCGTCAAGCCACGAGAACACTACCACAGAAGCACCAACCACCACTCCATCTCCTGCTCCTGTTCCTGTAACTGACTCACAGATCAGCAATATCGCCTCCACTGTACATAAGAACAAGGCTAATGTTGACAGCAGTGTCAGTCCTGTGTGGATGCGCACTGCAGCACCACTTCTGATTGTGGCTGTGTTGTTCTCCGTTACTGTGTACTGAACGGTGGGACTCATCTGAGGTCAAATAATAATAATGGTTAAAATAACATAATCATAATTGCGTACATCCCCCATGGGTGAATGAATTAATAATCTGTTTACCAGCTTTTTCTTTTAATTCGAATATCTTTTTTTACTTTTATGTGTGTGTGTTCTTTTTTCTAATAATTCCATTACTTGCTTTTCCCGTTGTGTGTGTGTAGAAAACTGGGCTGTTCTGCTCACTGAGGGTATACATCTCTTGCTAGTACACACAGATGTGTGTGTGTGCAGTAATTTAATATACATAAACTAGAGCCATGGGGTATTGTGTGTGTGTTTGGCTCTCTATTATTTGGGTAATGTGAGGTGTTCTCTTTTTTTTCTATTAAGGGGTACATATTATTATACAAGCGGGCTATTCCTTTTTTGTTTCTTACTGTGTAGTTGCTGCTTCTCTCTCTCTATCCCACTGTGAGTATTTGTACACTGCATCCACTCATTATGTGTGTCTCTTTTTCTTCCTTCTTCTTTTTCCTTTTTATTTTTCTCACTCTATCCATTAGACCTGTGATTTCAAGTGACGAGAACAACAAGAAGAGTGACGCTAATGATAACGAGGATGATAAACCTGTGTTAACTAATCCCGCTGCTTCTGGTGGTGGTCGAGTAGGTCTGAAGTTATTGCAAGATATGCATAACGCCCCCTCTAGTTCTTCTTCTTCTTCTATTCCAATGTCTACTGTTGTGGAGCCACAGAAGTTGCGTGTAGTGGAGGATGACACTCCTCTCTCTTTTTGGGTGGTTTCATGGCAACTTCTGCAGAGACCATCTTGAACAGTGCCCATAATGTGCGACCAGGTGATATTATGTGTCTTCGATGTCCTCCACCAACAATGACTCGTCATTTGTCTGTTCATTCTGTTTCTCCGGTTGATGTTGTTGCTGCTGCTGTTGCTTCTTCTTCCGGTTCTTCTAGTACTGCTGGCATGCAGTTTGTGAAGGAGACGGATCTCACCGAGGAGGAGAAGCTGTACGGTAAGCGTCTCTCTCTTGTGATATGCTGCTGGAGTTGTTTG